CCCCCAGGATTCCACCTACACCCACGTCAACCAAAGAGGGGCTAAATGGGACTGTGGAGAACGTGTGGACTAGATCTCTTGACCCTGGGTGAGATTTCTCTGTAGTCACCTACTATCTGGGGGACCTGGGGAATGTTATAAAATATCCTCATCTCTAATATCCTCGCCTCTACTCAGGTAAACAAAGTATAAATCTCCACTTCAATCATTTCAATAGTCAAAAATCTATTGAAAGAACTTGGTATTTTTTGGCTTAAACCACAGACATTTCTGACAGCACTGGATTCATAATATATCAAAATTTTCTTTTCACTTGAGTTTCTCAACTGGAAGCTATATCCAACTCTGTACATAGTAGATGGGATTTGGACTAGATTAAATTTACTCTGAGGTCCCTGCCAACTTGGAAAACTAATTTTTCACATAATGCACAGAATGAAATTGGAGATCAGGAATTCAGTGTGAGAAAAAGCTGAGAAACACACACATACACACAATACTCTCTGAAGTGAATAGTGAGCTACCAAGTAGTACTTGTTAGGACAGGATCCTGAGAAGAGGGCATGGAGCTTTTTCTTTGAAGCTGTTACTGATTTCTCAAGGAGGCCAAAAGGCTGAGAAGTGACCTCCCTGCTGGATCACCTCACTCACTACTGCCACAACACCAGAGTCTGTACCATGATTTTTCTTTCAACTCTGATGTTGCAGATTAATGTGCATTTTGGAGATCTGCATTCCCCACAGATCTATAATCTCCACGTTATCCCCACGATGACTGTATCTGCAAGTATCTCCTAAGTCCTAGGCTAAAGCTGTTGAATGACTAAGCTTGGCCAAGTTTCTGGGCCTCCCTTAAGAACTTAGTGACTTTGGCCAAACCTGCTTATACTCTCTGTGCATCTGTAAGCAGACGGTGAGATTAAGGAAGATCAAGTTTATACAGGACCTGAGTACTAGGGATCCTGGCCCCATAGCTCTCATCCCTCCATTCCCCACCTATTCACAAACCACCCCTCACTAAGATGCTGGAAAGGATTCCACACTGGGCTTCAGATCAGCACCTCTGGAGGCTTTGTCACACAGATATTGGGAACCTCTAGGACTGGCTGGGATCATGGTGTCTGTATTTTTAGCAGTATTTATATGACCTAGGACAAGGGTCATTGAATAAAATAAACCATAATACAAGAATGGTTCTTAACCTGAATCCTGGGGCACCTGGGTGGCTCAGTCAGTTAAGCATTGAGTCTTGGTTTTGGCTCAGGTCATTATCTCCCAGTTCATGAGTTCAAGCCTGGCCTCGGGCTCTGCACTGTCTGTTCAGAGCCTGCTTAGGATTTTCTCTCTCTCCCTCTCTCTGTCTCTGCCCCTCCCCCACCCCCCCA